CCCCCCCCCCCCCCCATAGGTTGTGCGCTGTGCAAATGTGTCGGGCTGACCAGAGGACATTAAGAGCTTTTCAGAATGAATAAACATTTGGACCACTGTCGATAATAGGAGCAACGCACAACGGTTTACAGTTAAATCCGTTCCATCTAGACAGTAACAGGTTCCGTTTTATCTCTCCAATTACTTGTGTACATGATATCAAGTCAAAAGTTTGTTTCAGATTAGCATATACAATATTGTTTTTGTCCCACAAATATAAGGATGTCATAAAAGGATTTTTCTGAAAATTCCTCAATAATGTACGTCTGTTTCTCAAGTAAAATCCTAATCACCAATCCACCTCGAGGAATTTACACTGAGGTGGCATTGGGGAGTAGAAAGGGTGCACGTGAAGATAAGCATGCGCCAAACTCCGGAAAAGCGGCCCTACTATACAATAACTGCAAAAGGCAGTACCGCACGGATGTCAAGCATTCAATAACAAAACAGTATTGGATAGAGGTAAATAGGGTTATCCAGAACGAAGCATCTAATTGGCGACAGCTTATTAATATTTTCATGAATGTCTCTTTATCAGTGATTATCATTTCGATGGTCTCTGTGTCTCGTCTACAGTTTCGATAATAAATCCTTTAATCCACTCGAAAATTCCGTGAGAGTCCAAAAATTACTTCTATGTACGTACATTGGAAGTACTACTCACAAAAGTGAGTAGGATCTCACAACGGAAGCATATGTATTGATTCATCATACAGATGCCTGCATAGATCATCAATCTTAAATAGACCCTATCCGGATCAACCGTCCCTCAAATTTTTAAACAAGTTTCATCTCGAAAAACGTACCTGAATCCGGTCCTCGGGAAGTGCGGCTTTTAACGAGAGCAGTTCTCTTTGATACACGTCCGGATAATGCGCTTCGTGAAATGCCTGTTCCAATTTTTCCAACTGTGCACTGGTGAAAATAGTTCTGTCGAAAATTGATTCAACAAAACCAGAGAAACAGTTATCATTTAGTGAGTGGGGCTTGACCGAGTTGTTTGGAACGGTACTCCCAAACAGGTGCACTCAGATCGATATTTGTATTTGTATCGTTTTGTTTATGTTGGGCATGGTCTCAGAAGGCATCTTGGACACAAAAGATAGGGCCTACTCAAGGAGGCTCTACACCGATGAAATCCAAGCATACGGCCAATCTGAATTAGAAATTATTGCAAGATTTCGCGCATTACATAGAACAACGGCGAACCATGATCTTTATTACATGAGTTCTGCTGCCAAGTATGTCTGCATCGAGTCAGCTAAATAAGTATACAATAATTATCTGTATTGTGGTTTACCACCTGTATAATTATCCAACCAATAAAATCATCATTTTCTCGAATTTGGCAACCAAATAGGGTGTTTTGTCCCACATTATTTTTTTTAATATTAGACAAAACTCCGTTAGAATTTAATTTTTATCCGTATATCTGCAATATCGTTATCGGTGTAAAGTGGTGGTGGCCTCATCTGGAGCACAAAACCACATTGAGTAGGATCAATATTTTTTTGTTCGACGGATACCAGTTAGAATAGAGGGCACAGCAGCAGAGTGTTACGCCATCAAAAGTCAGAAGAATTTCGCCGTATCTACTCAGGTTCATGCTACAGTCGAATAATAAAATGTTCTCCGGTCACCCGAACTTGACAATCAGGATTACTTATTTGTAACTCTTTCGCTGCTTTGACAGAAAGATGAACAAGCTTAACACCAGCACACAGCTAGCTCATCAACGATGGTTACTGTGACTTGCTATCTTGTGTTATTTTTATCGACAAATGTACATGTACCTTAGGAGATACAGTGATGTTTTATCTCAGGGAATGAAACTGTGTATCACTGCTTCTGCTGCTGGGCCGCTACTGTGCTCTTCGTTCCAGATCATATCACGGAAAGGATGGTTCACTTTTTGTGTCCTTTTCAGGACTCGAACCGCAAACATTTGAGTTGGAACTTCAAACCCTTCTCCTGAACCACACGGACGACGGTTATCATCTTGTGCGATTGGCTCAATCAATTTAGATGGTCAGTGTTTGGATTAGCCCACTCGGTTCTCACAGGCACCAGGCACTGTTCATGATGTTCGATGTGGGTTTCAATCCTCCCTTGTAGGTCCGGGGTCAGGGTTTGATGTCCTGACCCAAATGTTGCGGTTTGACTCCTGACAGGGACACAAAAAGTACGCACTGCTGACGCGTCCCAAATAGGACGAAACAGCTGTCCAGTGCTCTTTGTCGGTTATCACAAACATTTCCACCGCATTTAAATGCATTCAAATAGAGGGGAATCAACGATCTCCAAGGAGTGAAACCCACACTGAACATCATCAACAGTGTCTGATGCCTGTGAAAAACCGAATGGGCTAATCCAAGTATTGACGATCTAGATGGCTCACTTTCCCTAAAAAGCATACAAACCAATCGGTTCTAGATCCTGTGAATCAGTTCGTTTATTTCAATAAACAATCGCTGAAAATAAATAACTTTTCGTTTATGTCACTCGAGCTGCTTTGATCAATCTGTACAAACAAATGGTCCTTCTTGCGGTAGTTTGCAATTTTGAATCCCACCATCGTCACCCTACTCGTTGATTTATTGTTGAACAAACTTCGTTCAATCGAGGCCCATAAACCTATGTTCAATGAACGTTTCTTTGCATATCGACTGGGTGGAAATAAAAAATAGCAACACCGTTATTGGTGCTAGTAATTTTATTTTGAGCAAAAATAGCAAACAGACCGAATTTATTTACATGGAAAGAAAAAGGATTGCCACAGCCTTAATCCCGGGAGGACTGAATTACGTCTCTTCATTTTGAAGATGTTTGCATTTACACTCAGAGCTGTCTATGCTCAAATCCCCCCCCCTTCCTGACACACACGCAAATATGACTAGCTCCGGAATGAGCCAAGGGCAGCGAGGAAACAATAAAATTATTCAGCAAATAAAGTACTTAATAAAAGCTCACGTTTACCGCTGCAGTCGTGTTGAAATTTCAACATCACTCGGTATAATGTACCGAAAGAGGCAATGGGTATAACAGGTAAGATAGAGTGGGTAAACCAGTCAGTCGCAGGTGTCATCCGTTCACTGTAGCATCAGTTCAACACAGAGAAGGCCTATATTCAAAAGTTTATTTACGTCTCGAGATTTGGGCGCAGTCAAATTGCAGTGAAGCTTGCATGCCAAAAGGCAAGACCGACTAGCCTCACCTCACGTCACGTCATAATGCTGGAAATCCCATAGGAAGATGCAACTTCGATCAGTTGCTTCGAAGTGTTTACTCATCTATAAACCATTCAACTTTTGATGATCGAAAACTTACGTAAATTTGGCTATTGTTAAAACGTATATAAATCAATCGTTTGCATACCCATTAAAAAAAGAATGGCACGGGACAAATGTTCTATCTGCCAGGAGAGTGACGGAGGATTTGATTTGATCATATGGTGAATTTCGTCGTGTACAAGGCCAATGAAGCATGAACTGAAAAGCTAGGACAGCTGTTTCTACGTGGTTGGGTCTCATCAGCAGTACGACTTTTGATAACTGCATTAAGTTTAAACAGACGGGTATAAGGAAAAATGAAAAGCTGTCTGATCGGCTGTTGAGTGGTTAGTAGTTCTATGTGTGAGGACCTGTGTTCGATCCCCAGTTGGGTCAATGGATTTGTACCGCTGATGAGACAAGACCAGGTGGAAACAGCTGCCCAGTGCTTTCTAGCGTTTCAGTTCACACTTCATTTCCTTCTTTGTAGGAAAGCACAGTTAACCAAATCCTCATTGACTCAATATTATTATTCGAAATTTTAGAATCCCACTGTGAAATTTCTTCATTGGTTACTGAATGATCAACGAAAATTCAAGTTTCTAAAACCTCAGTATTATAGTTTTCTTGATTTCAGTCAGTTAATAATCATTCAAGGCTATTTATTTCACTTCTGTCTGGTATTAAGACGGTGGTCGTTCTCCAAAAAATGAAAACATTTATCGAATGTGCTATTACCGTTAATACTACAAAGTAAAATTTTAGCCAATGCACATGGGTGCAAACTGTCACATGTACCGTCAACTTTGATGGATTTAAATTGGTCAGCACATGCCTCATCCAAGCCGTACCGGGAAAGCAATTCATGTAGTGAAAACGCACCGAGGAAGTGGAACCTCAATATTGAAATAGAAGTGACCGCTTATTGCGGACGTGTATTGCCAGTGACCCTTAGCTGTCTGGAAGGAGTAAACAGATGATTTTTCTGTGGGGTAGGCGGCTTGTGTTGGAGGAAAGTCGTCTGCCGTGTGCAAGATGGCAAATAGATGCTAACACACACTCATACTCACATCTGTTCTCTCGGAAAAGTCGATGAATTTCCTATTGGAGGATATAATTTGAATTAGTTGTATTGTTTTCTTCGCCCATCAGTTTAATGCCGCGTAGTCCATTTTTTACAACTGAAATCTAAAAGATTGTTTCCTGAAATTGCATTGGGTTTTAACGAGACTTTCTTTTGTAGTTGCTCACTTTTTATCTCTCAAGTTCATTAAACGATTAAGAACGCGAGAAGAAATCAGGTTTTATCACAATCGCTAGACAGGCGCTCAGGACTTTCTCTAATCAGTTGCAACTTCATTTGCACTTATCTTGTGATATTCCTGGTGTTTTTCACACACAAGTTTATTGTATACATACCCACAACGTTTTGCCAGCCCAGTTTTTACCCCCTGATATTGATCTCAGATTTCTGTTCACGTTAAATCCAATCAACCCCAGGTTCAGTCCTTATGGAAATCATTTGAAAGAAATTGAGCTTTCGGATCAACACAAACTTATGCAACTGATCCTTTCGGATCCCAACCGACTTTATAACCCTTACTGTTTTCAGAACAGATCAGATTTTAAACCCTGATTCCTAGTTTCATGTGCGAAACGCTCACACGAATTCTCCCGGGACTGTTTACTATCCCCTCACAAAAAACATTATGAATATGTTGAACTTCGTTTTATATTTGAGCTCACCTTTGGATTGAAATATTATTGGTCTGTGAGATACAACAAATCGGTTCACCGGACGTATTCAATAGTGGGTTTTCTGTCGGCAAGTGGCTTAATCAATAACTTAGGCGATTGCACAAATTGTGAAATGCAATAAGTGTGTGTGTTTGTGTGGTTGCCTGTGAAAACTGAAGATCATCACTGTTTGCTCCTTATTACAAAATATACGTTTAACTAAATGTGTATTTGGGGTAACAATTGCACTCTGAAAGTGAGTAAAACATACATCGGAAATCGAGCAACTCCCCTCCTCTTTGATTTTTGCTAATTTTCTGATATGGTGCTACGTACACAGATACACAGAAACACTACTCACCGATGACGTCGTCGTTTTGTGACCTTTCCTTTTTCTCGTTTAGATGTATTGCTATCGGAATTTGTACTGAATGTGGTTTGGTCGGATGCGCTCGAGTCCTCCTCGGCGCGGGAGGAAGAATGTCCGGAAATTCGAGACTTGGTTGAATAATCCACTTCGG